TTTAATTTTGGGGGGGCTTCAGCCCGAAACCTTTTTTTTCATAAAAATAACGATAATTACTTTGGAAAAACAGAAAGAAACTAACTACCTATATGAAATGGTGTTTAAGTTATTCCTTAAGTACTTTTAAATGTAATTACACGAACAATAATACTTTAAGAGGTATTATTTAAATTTTTTTCCCATAAAACATGGTTATATTTTTCCATTTTGGGGGGGACTTCAGCCCGAAAGCCCTCCCCCGTAAATCCGCCTGTGTAACGACTCTTTATCAACGATTTTACACAAATGGACATAATAACAGACTTATATAATTACAGAGGCATATTCCTCTTAAATACAATTTAAGAAGTTATTTACCAGTATTCTGGCAAGGAGGGTTATATAATGAGCTGAATCTGAAAGCCTCATACCTAAAGAACAAGCGGAGTCGTAGAAGATGCACAGACCACATTTTCACACTAATGTCACTAATTGGTATTAAATTTAGACCTGAAGGTAGCTACTTATATGCTGCATTTATAGACTTCCGCAAAGTCTTCGACTCCATCAACCATAATCTGCTACGGAAAAACTCTTTTCTCTCGGACTTGGAGGAAAACTTATAAGGATAATGAAGGTGCTGTACGACAATGCTACAACTCAAATTGTAACAAAGGACAACTATCGGAAAGCATAGATATAACATCTAGCCTGTTACAGGGAGAAAGTCTTAATCCAACACTTTTCGTCTTGTTCATATCAGATATAATCCAATTTTTTCAGCACTGGCATAAGCATCGATAGCACTCATGAAGTAAAAATGCTCTTACTAGCAGATGATATTCTTCTTCTTAGTGGTACTTGGTAAGAAGCACAAAAGAAACTGAAGATCCTGCAACAGTACTGCGAGAATAACTTCCTGACTGTAAACGAGGAAAAATCAAAAGTTATAGTATTCCATAAATTCTCCAGGATGAAGAAACTTAAGTCCCTTTACTGGTATGAGAAAAAGTTGAAATACACTAAGGCCTATACTTACTTAGGAGTACCTTTCACTTCCTCAGGAAAATTTAGTAAGGCATCTGAGCATTTTGTACAGAAGTCCTCTGTTGCCACGGGAAAAGTATTGGAGATTTTGCGAAGGGGTAGAAGCGATTCATGGGAGACAAAAATAGCTCTTTTTGATATCTTCAACCCTTTTGTATTCTTCTAAAATATGGAGCTTAAGATACCTGGATGCTATTGAAATGGTACAGCTGAAGTTTCTGAAGCAACTATTTAGGTGACCAAGGAATACTGCCAACTACATTGCACGTCTCGAAACTGGCCGAAACGCCTCGAGTGTCAGGGTTACGAGAAGGATTATAAATTACTTGTCAGTGATTAGTGGTCAGAATGTAGAGTTTTGTTAGTCAATTTCACTTCAACTTCTTCAACTTTTCTTGTTATCGTAGACCCTAAATACTTAAACTTCTCTACAACGCATTCAAACGTATTTTCTTTAATATCTAAAACACCAAAAATGTCACAATTTTTGCTACTAGTCAGATAATTTGTTTTGTCCGTATTTACTTCAACACCGGGTCTTCCGGGGGTTCATTAACATTTTTGTATTTAGTCTTATTGTTGCTGTGTCTTCGCTTAACAGTGCCAAATCATCATAATACACAACCACTGATATTGTTCCACCCACATTCAATCATTTTTAAAATATTCTATTACAATGTTTTCCTACCTTTGTTAGTGAGGAAGAAAAATCAAACGTCTTGTGCGCGCACCACACAATTTTCACTTAAAGCTCAACTTTGCATAAAAATTACTTAAATTACCTAAAGATGTAGAGATGATCTCTCTTAAATTGCTTACAAGTTTACATTTAGTTAGTAAATTTCATTTAATTTCCTCGAAAACACGTGATTAACGTTAAATAATATTAGTTTTCAGAGATTATTTTTTATAATTATTTCGCCACTCTCCGTTACTTTCTTCAACTTTCTATATTAGATATTGTTTTTATACATCGATTATTACTATACTTCTACGATATATTATACATCTACCTTCTGACAAGCATTTCCGGAGATTCATTTTCGACCTGAATAAGCATTTTTATTTTTTTTCTCCTTTATTCAATTAACAAATTCTTTCAAAAGTTATATTTAGCATTTTTTCGTAACTCTTAATAATGTGAAATAGTTAATTATTTAAAATAAACCATATTAAAGGTACTTTAGAGGAAGACGTATATGAACATTGGGCATTTAAGCCCTATAAAGTGACATCAATGGGGATAAGACCTAATTGACATTAAAGACCACTTAATTATACAATGATACACCGAGCTTAATCAAAAACATACAAGGTATATCTTAAATATTAAATTTCACTTTCGTACGACTTTTCGTTTTTGGGCCAGACTGTTCACATACACACAAACACACACACACACATACAGACCGTTTTAAAGACGGTTATTTGGACTCAGGAGACTTCAAATCGTCTATTTCCGTTGAAAACTCAGTCGAAAATTTTCACGATCGCAATATATATTTCATGTATAGGTAAGTAAAAGTAAAAAATACGTCTCACTTTGGTAAGCATGTAATTTTTACAATGCTCCTTACGTTACGTATAAAGGTTGGCCTTTTTTTTAACTAGGTAATGACCACAGTACTGTTCGCATATTATTTTCTACGAAACACGTTCACGCTTTTGCTTCTAATTATACATCGTGACAGTTTCAAATGACTTACCTTCCACGTCAACAACAAAGACGCATATAGTTCTAACACCATTCATAAAGGAAGCTTTTGAATTATAATGTTCAATTTCGTACAACAATAAGTAAAAAACCAACAAAGATAGCTAACGTGACACAATCTTGTCAATTGGTTTAAAACTATCTCGTTAAGCCAATTTATAGTGCGAATAGTCAATCCAAACTGTAGTGTGGCAAAGGACCCAACAGCCGATTCACACCACGTCTTGCTTCTTGCTTAGGAAATTCAGGTACTACTTATAACCTATATTTGTTCTGGCATTGAAGTGACAAACGTTACAAATAAACTAAGACAATAAGATAAAAACACAAAAGATTAAATTTACGTAATTTCTTTGCTTTATTAAATATCTCAATGAATAGGGTATATTAAAAATCGGTACTATATCATAGCGGACCTTGTTTTAATTTTCTCCACCATCGTCTTGTTCCGTCTTCGATTCCCCCCTCCAAGTGCAAGACCTATATTCAATTTAAAATACTTCCGTTGAACAGCTTCTCCGTTCAAATTTGTTTAATATTAACAAGAAAATGCATAAATAAGTTATACTATCATAATTTATTTCATCGATGATGGAAAATCTTAGTAATTTTTGTTTTTAAATCATTTGACATTGGAGTTGGAGGTGCTGAAAATAGCGTTGTTTTTGTTTACATAAACAGCTGATCGAATCGTATTCAATATATTTTTCTTAGTTGTATGCTATTTACAGAAATTATAATAATAAAATAAATTTGTTAGCATCATAAAATAAAATAAAGAGTAGCATGAAATGAAATAAAGAACAGCTAAAAATGGGGAAGTGTAATTTGTCTTAAAAACAACAGTGTGTAGTGCGTAGCTACGCAGGCATATCTTAATACTGCTGACGCCTGTATTGCCAAAAATACAGGAGACGATTTGAAACAAATAAATAATATAATTTTTTTTTAAATAATTAATTTTAGGTCCTTCTTTCAAATAAAATACCTTAAACTATGAAAGCCTACCACAGCTTTATATGAATATAAACGGATCACAAGATATTGACTTCAAATTAGAATAACGTTACTTTATTGAGGTTTTGGCATGGAAAATCAATATTGCCATATGAGTATATAATAAAAACATAAAATTTTTATTTGGTATATTTTTTTTTTAATGTTATCTAAAGTTTATATAATACCTTGACAGAATAACCATATTTTCTCTGAGATGGTACTCAAACATATTGGGTTACATTCACATGACGTTTTATTTAGCGTTTTTTTTTTTTTTTAACATATATAAATATGTTAAATTAAAAGTGCTAAACTAAAATATATCATCTCAGTCAATAAATTAAAATTAATTTTTTTTAAATATTTTTTATTCTATAATAATATTAGTGTGATGTGGAGATGGATCAGGCTTTTTAAAGCGGCACAAGATCTACGTGGTCTACAATCCTAATCCTCGTAAGCTTGCTCATTGAAAATTCCTACTATTCTAGGCCCAATGTTATTGTTTGTTTTGTTTTTTAAGTAAAATTAGATCAGAGCTTTGCTTAGTACATCTATTCATATATTTTAAAGCCTTTTAACTTTTTTTTTTTTTTTTTTTTGAAAAAAAAAATAAAAATACCAGAATCCTCGTACAAACGGCAATACTGTCTGTAATGCCAAAAGAAAAAAAAAAAAAATATATATATATATATATTAGTTAGTTTATTTCTAATAAATACTTTAATTAAGTAGTTAATTGCGTTGATGTATACATTAATGTTCTCTCATTACAGTAGACATGCACAGTATATTTGGTGGTGATTACTAGGGATTCAATTATTATATCCAATATTTCTACATACCTTGATATTGAAAATCAATAATTTTATAACACTATTTTAGGTAATATGTTTTTGGATAAATACCATCAACGCATAACATGTATCTCATTATCTGAATTTTGGCCAAAACAACCAAAGACCAAAAAAAATGTTTTTTTACTTAATCCAAAAATAAAATTAGTCGTCCTCTTTCGTCCGGGGCAAGTCTCTCTTTTATTCTTCCTCGAGCTTCGGTCCCTCTCCACTTTTTTTTTTCATTTGATTAAAATATAATACTTTGTATCAAAAAATATTGTTTTGAAGTGCTATCTACTGTCTTCCTCATTTTTTTCCTATCTGTTTAAATACCCGTAAACTATTCATAAAATAGGTGATAAATAATCAAGACAGTCATTTTTATTGCTTAAGTTTCAACCAAATCATGTGGTTCGTCTTCAGGGCAAGTTTACACTGCTGGGATTATCAGGAGACATAGAGGGAAGATCTACAATCCACCGTGCTGTAATTCGTAACGTTTAAATAAATAAATTTGTAAAAAAATAATCAACAGTGTAGATGGAGGCAGCCTAAGTTTAATCCATAATATAATAATAATTCAAATAAATCGTCATTGAATTTCTTTTTAGCACGAATGATCTCATTGGGTTTTCCCCTGAACTCTTATCTCATATCATAGACTCGATTTGGTAAAATATTTAAATCAAAATGAGTAAACCCATTAAATAACAAAAGCATTTCTAAAAATGTTTTGTCACGAAAGTCTACTCAAGCTTCTGAGATGGACAAAGCAAATATTGTTGGAGTAATTTTTAAAATAAGTTTAAAATTTTCGGGTGATAAAATTGGAATTGATAGCATAAGAGATTGCCGTTTTATTATTTTTCGATAGTGAAACTTTTTAATCGATCGAGAAAAAAAAATTATGGATGATGACCTACGTTTAAGGGACAAAAATTCAAAATAATATAGCGAAATGATAATAATTTTGATCAATTACTAGCAATGTTAAATATGCTGAAGCTGAAGTAAAACTCGATACGTTGATTCAACTTGTGTAAAATGTAGAACAAATAATATTGGAAAGGAGATTCGTGATAATTATAAATTAATCAAGCAATTAAGAAAAAAGAACCATGCTTACAGCAGAAATTTTAGGTTCAAAATTAAACAATAGGAAGTTTTTGGCTTCGGTAATTTCCCTAGTACAGATTTAGAGAAAAACAATTTTTTGTCGTTTTTTATCCAGAGGATAAATATTTCTGGAATATTTCTGGAATGTTGAGAAAATATAAGGAGCATTAAAGGACTCCTTCTCCCCATTTTCGTAAAAAAAAAAGTTACAAATAAACTTTACATATTAGAAAACAAAAAGAATTCTTTAATTTTCTTCTTTTTTTGGAAACATTAGAAACTGTTAAAAAAACTAAAATGACTTTCTATAAATAGTTTTTACAGTTTGACAAATTGTATAATAAGACCACAAAATATAATAATTTTGAAACTGCCCAATACACAAAAATTTCAAAACATTTCAATTTAAAATTAATAACTATATTGAAATAAACTGTTGTTAATACTTATAATAATAATTGATTTAGGGATCCTCTTTCCTCTATAATCTATAATTAGTTAATTGTTTTTCACTATATAGCCGTATATCTCAATCTAAGAAATTCAAACATTGTTGGGTTTTTTTTTATCTCTCTACAAATAAAATCCTGTAACATAATTTTTCAGTGATTGAAATTTTAATAAAATATTTAAATTATTCTTCATTTATTTTTATTAACAGAAAGACTGAAAAGTCATGATTTAAAAAAACTTTAATGCATTTTTTAAGATATCATGGTGTGCACTTTGATAAATATAATGATTACTTTTTCTTACAGGATCAAACGATATAAAACAAAACAACATAGATACGACACAAAAATTATATAAAATAACGATGTTGAAGTAGCAAAAAAAAAAAAAACGTTCTAAGAAAAAACCGTTATCCACTTCAGGACAAATGAGTGCCATCACTTGACATGTTTATCAACTCAGTTATTTGCCATCTATTGACTTTATCTGAATAGAAGGAGGAAATATTAATTCACACATTTAGCAATTCCAATAATTCAATTTTTCCAAATACGTCATACAACACTTTTATCCACTTGAATCTTCAATTATAAGCTGTAAGAGGTTTGACAAATAATAAAAATGGTCAAAATATTTTGCCGATACCTTACGGACATCAACGATTTTCAAACATCGATGTTTTTGATAAGCCCTCAATGTTTTAAGACCAATGCAAGGGTCTCCAAACTACGGATCTGGTCCCCAGGCACCTTCAATCCGACCTCCAAGCACCTTGAGACCAAGCACCGACCCGCTAAAGTTTCTTTGATAAGATTTTAAAGTTTGAAAAACCATTTAAAATTATGAAATTCGGAAAATTACTCCCACACGAGGTTACTGTAACATTTATTGCATGTTTTTTTTTTCCTCTTAGAAAGCTCATTTCACAGCTGAAATGACATTTATAAAACAAGAACTTTTTTTTCTTCACTAGCCATTGCCCGCGGATGGTCCCAATGCGGCTCTTGGAACTTAGTCGAGGTTTCAATATGATCCGTCTTTTAAATCCCTGCTCACACCCTCTGGCTCGGGAATAGGCTATGCGGGCCTTAACGGCGAGGATGGGGAGGACCCAAGAAAAAATATCAATAATCAAAAGCCTATTTAAATCAAAAATTTCCTGTTGAGTTGTGATAATTTTTCCCATCAGTTTGAAGTTGAATAGTACAACTTTTAAATGTGGCCCGAGGTAGAGTAGGTTGGGATGAGAATCGAAATAAGTAACTGCCTAACCGATATCTCTAGACAAATTACTCAAGATTTCATAACTTTGGTTCTACTCAATGTTTTGTTTTCATTTGAAGCCTATGTTTTAAGTCAAGCAAACCTAAATATAATGTCAAAATTCTACAATGAGCCATTGCTGAGCTTATCCCTGATAAAATTTCGTTGAACAATGCGGACATACAGACAGACAAAATTTTTTTAAAACGTGGGTTTGGTGTCTGTAATGCATGAAACGGAAAGATATCATGAAACGGGTTGATTCTATTCATTGTACAGACAAAATCTTTATTTTATTTATATAGATAATAATTATCCCATAAAAATAATAATATTTTAGAAATTATAAAATTCGTCTGTTTTTCTGATAACAATTTTCTAGAACCTAGAAGAGAAAAAAAAATCTGAACAAATATGAGGGTAGGTAAGTGTCACATTTTTTTCTTGCTCTTCCATAGAAACACTAAAGTAGAAGAATTTCAATATTTACTCCTCCACGTCCTTAATTTATAACATCGTAGATAACTTTGCTAATAACACGAGTTATTAATATATTTATAACATTTTTTTAAGATTATTTCCAAAAATGTTCAATAACTTTTACTCTTAACATTTGATTTCATTTACATCAATTCGTTGAAAATATTCATAATACTTTTTTATTGATCCAAGGAACCATCGAAACCAAAAAGAAGGTATCAAAAGTGTTGGTAACAAACATTTCTCTAAAATTTTGTATAAATCATTGGTACCATCAACATTTTCGGTGTAAATCCACCATAAAGGTCCACACAGGACTCGATACATTTTGACTATATAGAACCGCTCGATAATCAAGACAATATCTAATCTGGGGTGGGCAAACATGGAGACATGGTTTTATAATAGTGACAGAAGGAATAACATACAGAACAACAGCAATAGTGAAATATTTAATTCTCTCAAAATTTCTACACAGGCATCTATCTTTTTTAAATTATTTTGATTAATATTTGTGAGAGGTTTCATAAAAGAATGAATAACACTTTACTGTTTACCTGTTCTCCATTGGTGTGTATTTTGGCAAATGGCTTTGTACTTGTAATATTTTACAAAACATATCTTAGGGCACGGCTTCGTAGAATGAATTCCTAAGGTGTATGGCCCTCTATATTACTATTATGATGGAAAAGATAGTTATTCAACTTTATTACCATGTCGCCGCGCTAACTATCGCCTTCTGTGTGACCATGTCTTAACGATCCTGAAATAATCCTATCAACTTGCATAAATGATCACTTTTATACCCATATTAGGTGGAGCATATCGTCGAAGAAGGACGATATATTTGTAATTTGTATAAAATTGTCGCTGGCCCCGGTGCTATAGGCATTCTTACGAATAGAAATGATATTCTCACATTGATTTATTAAATGAGTCAAAGATATACCCGCTCAATTGGACTATCTAAAAATGGATGAAGGAAGCTAATTAAAAACTTATGTCAATAGTAAAACCCTTAATTAATAAGGAGGGCAGGATCATAAGACAAGCTAACATTCATCAAGAAACACTGACCGCAACAAAATCAATTCGATCAATCAACGAGGGACTTCTACAGTCAATTTGCAGATGCCCAACTACCAGATATTCACTCTCCAAAAATACCCATAAGTATCCAAGTGCAAAATGATCAATCATTCATTCTTATCAAACATGCTTGTGTGAATGTGGCAATCTTAAGGCGTTACAAGTGTTACGCTGATGACAATTTTAGTTATAATATATTTATATTTTACATCACGGGCGCCATCACTATTCACAACCCAATAACAGAATGGAAGTGAGGGTCAAAAGTACGAGAGAATATTAGTTTTCATTGCAATAGCAAAACTATTTTATATAAATAAATTTTCTATGCTATAATTTAACGCTGTATTTGAATACCATAGAGATGAATATGTCCATTGATCCCAGAAGCTTCTATGCATATAAAATGTAATAATAATAAAAAACCGAAGGTTCGATGCCTACACTACAGATCGCAGTCCAAATCCGTTCCCTTCAGATCGGCCTTAACGCAATCTTCCCACCTTCGCTTCGGCCTACTCTCCAAACGTTTACCAGTAGGCACAACAAATATTAACGTTTTAGGAATTATTTCGTTAATAAGTTCAACAATTTTACAAACCCATTTAATTCGCCGAGATATAATCACCTCAATTATATTAGCCGGATACAGTTCAAACATATAAAATGTAAAATTAAAAAGAGACTATCATATGGTATAATAAGAAAACTAATAAAAACCAAACTAAAAAAATAAAACAAACTAATACTATCTGATAACTATTGATAACTTAAACAAATCTGTTAATAAATATATTTTTTTATTAACTATTATATGCAATGACAGATTTCAGTTTGAATAGAGTAATTTTGAAATTGGTTCGACAAAATGGTCATTAGGGGAAAAAAATCATATTAATATGCATTGTAATTGAATTGAGACAATTAACGGCTGAAATAACCGGAACGATCGTTTCAACGGTAAATGGTAAATTAATAAAGTAAATAACTGCAATTTTTTTGAATTGATGATGATGTACAATTGAGCTGTCCAGGGGCTCAAGGGCACTCATTTTCTCCGAAAGGGAAACGCAAGCCTCATGTAATCTCATATTAATGTGATATAAATTACATCTGATTAAAGTCAACGGATTTTTGGATATGTATAAGAATAGAGGGAAATCTCATACCATAAAAAATTAAATAAAGATCATAAAAATCTAAATCTCTATCAATGCTTTATTTCAAGCCGAAGCCGAAGACTCAGAGAGCAAAAGGGGTGCCTCTCTCTCCCCCCACTTCCAATAACAAAAGAGAAGGGCGAAAATGCCATTATGCTACACCGAATAATTCTATATATAATAAAAAACTAAAATATAACAAAAATCAATAGCAAGTGATATACATAAATAAATAAAATATGTAGACTAAAATCTTCTTCTTTTATTGGCTCGACAGACCATTACTGATTCCTGTCCTCCTCCAATAACTTAAGCCAGTCTGCTCGCCGTCGGGCAGCAGTACTCCAGTCCCTGACCCCTAGGATCGTGCGGGCATCTTCTGCCAGGCCATCCATCCATCTAAGACGCGGTCTTCCTTTACGCCTGGTACTATGAGTGGCATCATTCATTATTTTTCTGGAGATCTCATCCTCTGACATTCGTGCTACATGGCCAGCCCACCTCAGCCTCCCCCGCCTAATGTGCTTCACAATGTCAGGTTTGCCAAGGAGATTATATATTTCTTGATTACCCCTCCTGAGATATATTTGATCGACTCTTCTAGGTCCATAAATGCGCCGCAGAATTCTTCTCTCGAAAGCCAATAAACTTCGTTCATCCATCCGTGATATTACCCATGATTCCGAGACGTATGTCAGGACCGGCCTGATTAACATCTTATACAGCGTTATTATACGTCTTACACTTTTTCAAACTTATAGGAGCCATACTGCACATTATCAGCCCAGATACCAAACTCAGAGATCATATACTTGGCTTTTACAGCATTTACACAAGTCCCAGTTGTACGGCTGTTGCTTCCAGCGAAAGGAAAGTCTCACGAAATGCAGCCTGGGATCTACAGACAATATCCAGATCGTCCGCATAACCAAGGATCTGAACCATTCTATTAAACCGTGTGCCTGTTATTTGGATCCGTGCATCTCGCACCGCTTTCTCACGCTATTCGTTGCAAGGCTCATCTCTGACAATTCGGGACGATTCTGCCCACTAGCGGATTCAGGATTTAATTTTGGGGAAGGCTTCAGCCCAGAAGCTTTTTTTTTTTTCATTTATATAACGATAATTACTTTGGAAAAACAGAAAGATACTAACTACCACGAGCAATAATACTTTAAGACATAATTTTTTAATATTTTTTACTATAAAATATGGTTAAATTTTACCATTTTGGGGGGGGCTTCAGTCCTAAAACCCCTAAATCCGCCTGTGATTCTGCCATTCGAATAACCAATCCAATAAGTTTCTCTGGGATGTTTAATTCCCTCATAGCTTGATAAAGAGGTTCATGTGGTACACTATCATAAAAAGCTTTGAAGTCTACAAACAGGTGATACGTGTGGATGCAATACTCTATGTTTCGTTCCCTAATTATAATTACCTTATTAGACTGTTGATCTAACTTTGCGGAATCCGCACTGATATTTTCCCAGCAACCTCTCCACATATGCCAGAAGTCTAATATATAAAATGTTTGAGAATATTTTATACTCGCAAGGCAACAGCGATACACCTCGATAATTTTTACACTGAAGTACATCCTTTCTTGCGGATTGGGCACAGTATCGACTTTTTCCAAGAACTTGGCACTAAAATCCATTAAGAAAATACGAATAATCGACCGAACCAAGATTAGACCCAAAAGTATGTAGTTGTATTTCTATATCCTTAAAATTCCCTTAATTTAAAATATCATTTACACTAAAAAATAACTGTGTATAGTAACACTATAAATATCAATGGTTATTGTTTATAATAGATCTTAAAAGTGTCTTTATAATAGATCTTAAAAGTGTCTTGCATATTTTTTCATTCTTTACGAAATGTTTTGGTTATTTTAATTTAATGTTAATACAATTTCCATTGATATTTATTTTTATTTTTAAAATAACCAATTTTATCCTTATTCTACTGATGTTTCGCGAAAATGTTATAACTCCCTCCTAAACAGACACAATGAAAAATGTTTAATTTCTAAATATTATCGGTTTTGTTGTATACAGATATGAACAACACTCGATCGTTTTGCTAACTATCTCGTTTAAATTAAGGTAACATTAAGGGTGAAGAAGTATAACTATATATTTTTGGGTCCAATCTTAGCCTGGTCGACTGTTCTTACTTTCTTTATTGATTTTACATAAGTTATTATCGTTCTTCTCTTTTATTGTTGGGAGTGGAGGAAGGGGAAGGAGCCCTTCTTGCTTCCAAAGTCTTCTACTATGGTTCTATTTGTGAAATTTTCAGTTGTCTGGACATTCTTGGTTGTTTCATTAGGTCAGAGGGCGGGGTGGCCGAGCGGGCTAATGCGCGTGGACAGCACCGCGTTGCCCGGCAACCTAATGGAAGATTATTTGATAAAATAATTTACAAGTTCGCGTCCCGATGCCGTTGGGACTCTTAACTCTGGCATTGAAAATCTGTAATAACTACAGAAATGAAACAACGTAATAAATTACTCACTCGACATATTACTATTTCTCTTGGTTCTTTTCAGAATGGCTGATAATATCATCGAGCTTGGAACCTTCGAAGAGACCAGAGATGGAGTTCCACTCAAGTTCAAGATCACAACCGTACCCAGAGAAATCTTTGAAGAAGTAATCGATCATATGATCATTAACTTTCTTCCAAGAGAACCTCTATGTACGCACACAAGTAAGTTATATTTATTTATGAACTTTTTTTCTTTGAATTGAATAAGTGATTACGAGATAATATTAAATAATTAGTACATATGTGTGTATTTATGTTATTTTATAATGTAATGTGTTTTTATAATTTATAAACACATTATAATTTTATAATTATAATGTGTGTATAATGCATGTTATTTCTTTTCTGTCGGCTTTACATCCTATATGAATGGATCGTTTACAGCCTTAGCAAGTCTTCTATATGTACATAATTTATTCGTTTACAGATTTATTGAAAGATCCATTAGCCGTTGAAGCTTCAAGAGTAGCTTGGAGACACATTTTGGAAACAGGTACTGGTATCGTCGCCATCGCAGAAAAACCTGGGCCATTGAAAGACCGGATTGTCGGTGCCAACCTGACTTATATCAGCTCTAAAGACAAAAATGAGGCACCTCCTGTATGTTGCTATGATTAATTTCGTGTAGAATATAATTTCTTTTTTCTGTTACATCAAGATCCTCTCCTCCCGCTCTCTCCTACAAACCAATAAAAAAAACAGCCTCGGTACCGGCCTTAGAAATTTGGCGTCTCCGTGCAATCAAGTCATCTCTCAAAATAAATTAATTTATTTCTTAAGCTGTTTTATACTTACTAATATTTAAATATTACATTCAACATTTCTCTATAATTGAGATGATTTACCAATAGGCTAAAATTAATTATTCTCATATACTTTGTAATTTTGTAAATTCCAAAAAAGTGGCGGGCGCCAATTTCCAAGCTGCAATAGGCCGGGGTTTCTTGCCTCAAGGCAGGCAATGGTTAGATTTGGCTCCAGGAGAATTACATATTGTCGACCCAGGTCTGATGAAACAGAAAATATGTTTTCATAATTGAATCGGCTGTAGTTTATAAATTGTATAAAGAAAAATGTAAATATAAATTTTTAAGTTATTATTGTAAGATTGCTGACAAAGCTTTTCGTACCTCAAATAGCAGTTAATAACCAATCAATAAAGGATTCATCAATTCATATATCAATAAGACTGACTAACATTGGTTTGTGCATTCAGGTTGTTTATTTAAATACAACTGCTTACAATTAATGCTCAATCTATATTATACTTATAATATGTATTTGAAGTTGAAATGTGATGTGCTATCTTGGCATAAATTTTAGCCTTAGTTATACCTGAATCGAAAAGTGATGACAGGTTATAAATCACCACCACAATGATTATATGAGCCTTTCAATTGACAGAATGATTTACTCCAATTTCAACATTTTTTAGTTAAGTCATTTTAGTGATATTTCTACTTGGAAAATTTATGATATCTGTACAGGCAGTGAGTAAGTTTATTCCAGAATAGGTGATTGCAGTGTTGAAATATTTAACTCTGAACAAAGGTATAAATTTTCCCACAAGAAATATAACAAAAATTAATAATCAAAAATGTTGAAATTGGAGTTAGTGATTCTGTAAACTGAAAGGCTCATATAATTAGGTCTGTTCTTGCATGAGTTTTGACAATCAGTAAACGGCTTGACAGTTGGCCAATTGTCAAAACTTGTGCAAGAATATACCTCATTTTGATTTCATGGCATAAATTGTAATTTTGATGCAGTTTTTTTTTTTTTTTAATAACATTTCATTATTTTTATATTCATATTTGCATATGGATGCATATGGATGCATATGGATGCAGTCGTTAATAAAAAAAATTAATAAAATAAAATTTCAGATCACTCTCAGAAACTAATATGAACCATCAAAAAAAAAATTATGTATGTAGATATATGAATTTCCATCATGAATCATCATGATTCAAGACTACTATTAAAAAAAATGTTGACTTCATCAGTCTATGGCAGACATCACAATCTAGGCTGATAGTTTGTGTTGGTGTTTAAACCACTTCATTTAAAATTATTATACTTCAACATATTAGACTTTTTTCAACGTTCTCACAATTACTGTATTACAGAAAAGTAGATATCCTTGAATTCATGTATTGAATACTTAGTGGTATAATTATTTGAAAAATAGTGTTGAGATAATGGGAAGGTATAAAAACAGTTGCTGGCTGTCACTTCAAGGCTATCTATGCAGAAGATCTGAATGAAATACAAATATTTTTTTATTTATTATTAAATTTTTACATAATTTAAGCATTTTTCCACTTATCTTCATAATTATTAGCTAACATATACATTTTTTATTATTTTTTTTTATGTTTCTAAATTTAATAACTGCAATTTATTAATAGACTATAGCAATAGTGGATCCAGGAATATTTTTTGGGAGGGGAGCTTGGTTTATTTTATTTTTACTTTTTTATATTGGTAATTATTGTGGAAGAAAAAGAAAAAAATAAATATAATAATATTTAATTAGTCCTTGATGACCAGTCAAACCATTGTTTGCAAAAAAATAATGCCTTTATATAATTTTTCTTGATATGTGCTTGCATTTAGTAGCTGAAATACATGTGTCATAGTTTTTAAAGAATACATATTTTGATTTTTTAAAAGTATTTTAGCTCAGCAACTCACTTAAACAAATATGGACCGTTAAAAAAATACTTCTTTCTATTAGGAGGGGTTTCAGCCCGAAAGCTCTCCCCTCTCCCCTCTTCCTATGGAAATGCCAGTAGACTGCAAAGAAGAGATTTGCCTGAGTAGAACCCTGAGCACTCTTCAAAAAAATCATATAATAAATAATTTATTGCATATATTCAATCTGAAGCAATTAAAAAAAAATGACCAAATATCGTTTAACATCATTAATTGCCTTTAATGACTCGAATACTTTATTTATGTAACAAACTATTTCAGATAAATATTTAGAGAATTTATATCAAAGGCTTAAATATAAATATAAATGAACAGGTACAACATAGAAATGGGAGGAAAAGTAATTATTCCCAAACTTAAAGATGATATTTGGCCTTATCAAGGGCCTGCAAATATGGCATATCTAACAAAATTGTTTCCTTATGGTTTATTGATATTGCAAATTATTTCTCCTGAGGATATATCTATAAATGTTAACATTTCATTCTAATTCTAGTAACTGGTGAATAATAGAATAAATGATCTCTTCATGTGGAAATACCTACCTAAGAGGCAGACATTATCAAAAGATGCCCAAAAATCATAATTTAAAAATGTAGGCATGGTGAAGGCAAAAATCTTACTGACCATTTCTTTTTGAATAGATTTTTTTTTGTTTTACCTTAAGAATATTAACCTTTAACCTTAAAGAGATTTAACCTTAAGAATATTACTTTAATTATATATACAAACTTATGACAATTAATATACAAAATGGCACTTATACATCTTTAGTTTTTCAAACAGAAAATAAATTTTAAAGTTTTCATATATTTTAGATGGTAAATCCATTTAGGTTCCATGAAAACCTTTATTTCTCATTCACTTTTTTTTTCATAGCCCCTTATTTATTTTCTGATGTTTTGCAGTGGGTTTTGAAAATTCTCCTTTTACATTCACTGATATATCTTATTTTTATTTATGTATTTATTCTTCATTTGTTTTAAGAGAAGAACCAACACCATACAGATAACAAACAAATCATACAATTCACTAATATAGAAGTAGAGATTATTAGTTATAATAATTAAAAGTCATTCATTTTTTATTAACTCTCTCCTTCTCCAGTCAACTTTAAATGTTAGAAATATTTTTTATTTTAATTTTTAGCTTTCCAAATGTATATTATACTCTATTTCTTCTACTACTGAGGGGCTCTACAGTCCGAGGTCGACCTTGGGTCTCCTTCACGATCTTTTTCCGATCCTCTCTATCCTTCATTATTTCCCTCTGATTTACCACTCCCATCCTCTTTAAATTCTCTTCCCCATCATTAACCAATATTTCCTCGTTCGCCCTCTTTTCCTTTTTCTGGGAAATTCCTCCCTAAATATCTTTTTTGTTGCTATGTCATCAGGCAGTCTTTCCAACTGCCCTATCCAGCTAAGTCTTCTAGCCTTAATAAAGCGTACAATATCCCCGTGCTTCAACAGTTCATCCAGCTCTTGATTTGTCCTTATCCTCCATTCTCCTTGTATGCATAGGGGACCAGACATTTTCCTAATAATTTTTCTTTTGAAGATCCTTAGTGCCTTATGGTCATTTACTTTCAGCGTCCAGGCTTTGACTCCATAGCACACAACTGGTCGGACCAAGGATTTGTACACTTTGAGTTTTGTGACCCTGGATAGGACTGTCAATTTAAAAAGCTTTAGCATACCAAAGTACGCTCTATTTCTAGCCATGATTCTTCTTCTTATTTCCGGGCTTGACCCCCAAGATAGGTGAAACTCTCCAATACTTCAAAAAACTCTATTACTACTCTTTTTTCCAAAATAAAATTGTTTTCAGCATAGAAAAAAAACATGCTTTTTTTTAAAGCAGTACCTATATGATTTATGTTATACAGCCTTTATATTTCATCAATTATTAATTATTATCACAAGGGTACTTTTGATCCTCTTTTGTATCCTCTTACTGTTGTATTCTCACGTTATCAAAGACAAGTTCTATATCATGAGTCTGCTTCTCAAAAAAAAGTCTTCAAACTGATCCCAGCTTTTCCAAATTTTCATTCTTTGAAAGTCAGAACCTTATTAAAACACAGGTGGAAGCAGAGACATGTAGTTCAATTTTGGAGTCCATAGTGATGATAGGACCTGAATCTGGCTGTGAGGGTTAATTAAGTGTTGTCCACCGTTTAGTTTGTAATACATCATCAAATGAGCTAGGTAAACAAGTAATCAAGATAACAACTGAGGAGTTTTAAAATTAAAATTATCCAAGTTCCTGATGCAGAATGTTAATGAATATTAAAGAAAA